GTTTTTATAGCAAATACACGTTTGCTTCAGTGACAGACCTACTTTACATATATGATAAAGGAGAGGCCTATCTTGCCTTGAAATTTACTCTGCCCTATGACAGACTGTGACCTTTGACAGTATGCTGTAGCGGTAGCTTGTAAAAATTATATACTGCACTAATCTCGTTCGATTCCCGCCGGGGGTGTTGATGATAATTAGGCGAGGTCGATAATGCAATCTATTCTGGACAGGAATACCTTCTAGGAAGCAAGTCAAGTGAAATTCAGCGGCATCGTGAGGCCTACTCATATAATTGTGGAGAAATTCATTATCAATCTTTAACATTGAGCGACTTTAAGGAGTATTCACTCTAATGCTGAGCTAGGGTCAAAAGTAGGCAATACAACTTAGTAAACATAATTGTAAATGGCCTGTAATTAACTGAATTAGTTTGGTGTTATTTAGTCTTTTATCTTTTCTTCTTTCATGAAGCTATGCTTTTTTATCACTAGTGCTCTTGTTTGCTATCATCAGATTAGGTCTGCTCCCTTACCTACTTAAGATCACATCATTAATTGAAATGTCTTGTATGGGCTTCTCTTCCAAATAATTTGCAGCCCTCATCCTTCCCTAAAGTGAAACAGGAAAACTGCAATATGCTGAGCCTCGATTCCACTAAGCCCGAAGATCATCAGGTCTATTGTCCCCGCATATGCTCTTCATTCTCACTTTCACCTTCGGCATCACATAGGGAATTGTCGTTTGCTAAAGAAGATGAACTCTTAATTGGACCAGACTCGGCTGACAAAACGGTCTCTCTTCAACCGAAGCAAATCATTAGCGCCGTTGAGTATGATTCAAATGTTGCTCATCCAGCTTGTGATTCGCCATTATATTCGCTTTTCACGAGTGATATGTTGCAAAACCGTATGGGCAGTTTGCTCACAGTTCAAGCATCAGATCTCACTACGACAGACTTAATAACAAATGCGGATGATAAAATAAGACGAATCAAACCTGCGCTTAGCGACATGACCGTTCACTCACCACGAGTGTTTATGCCCTCAGATCTGTTTTTAATCGAGCAGAGAGACCTTCTTAAGGATATTGATGATCTGAGAACTGGCACAGCTGCGCTAGAGTAAGAGTAATTCGAATATAACATTTTATATTATGGTATCATGTCTATATATTATATGTATTACTTTTATATATATATATAATATTTATGTTATATTAAATGCATAATATTAGTCCTCGCAAACGATATACTTTATGGGGAACGAGTAGTACTGCACTAGGCTATTTATGAATAGCCATGCGATGAGCTATTGTGCTTATCTGTGAATTGGCTTAAAGACATGCAGTTATTAATGTTTACTTACAGAAATTCTATAAATTGTTCATTCAAGTCTAGTTTTTATTACACTGGTCAATCATTTTTTTCTCAACTGCTTTGGGTCTATATTGACTAGTGTACATTGTGCTTGGCTCTTGGTCCATTTTATTGAATTCGAATCATGCCCAAATGTTTTTAAGCCTAAGCAAGATTCAAGCTATGGTTTTCTTTTTCTAGAATTTCAATTTAATATAGTAAACGAATAAATACTAAAATAAAGTCAGATCTTCGTCTCATTTCAAAACAAATAATGTTTAAGACACATTTCAGTTCATGTTTTCGAGGATAATCCTTTAGACACTTTAATAACTAGTTACAAATGGTGCAACATGACATTCAATCACAGTTCCTTTTCCTTCTTTTTACAAATTTGTGCCCTCTTTCTTAGACGTCTTCTTGCTATATTCTCTGAATCTATTACTGATGCGAAAAATCATTCCGAAGAAGTATTACGACCATGCTATCTTCAAGTTCGAGAACTGCATACTGAAATAGCTGAGGCCAGTGTGGATATCTCTAATGTTTATGCTGCCTTTTCAGATTTAAGCAGGAGGTTTGATAAACGCCGAGAACTTTTCAATACAATTCATGAAGTGAGTAGATATCGAGTGGAACTGCGCATAATGTTCACCTTGCTACATTTTAGGCTCCCACTTTTTCGTATTAAATTTAGTCGCCACATGTTGTTTCAGATGCCTTAAATGAAAAGGAATCACAATGTCATTTAGCTTATCTTAGCTTTGTCTCCCATAAGCTTATCTTATATAAAGTGGAATGCAGCCTTAGCCATGCCTGATCCCACAGCATCCGCAGCAGTATCAGATACAGAATCATGAGTAACGTGGCGATTAGATGATCATTCGCAATTCGCTACCCTGTACCAGTGGGTTACAGGGTAGATAGGGCGTTCAAAGGAGCCTCTTTAAACTCATATTTATAGTGAGGTTGTCGATTATACAAACATATGCTTACCGTTGCTTAATCTTGGTGTGACTAGCTTTAGAGGTTATCAGTAATTCTTGAATAAGAACTTGGTCACACTAATTGATTCAAGGACTGATAGTTTAGTCTTCACGCAATGATATTAATGGCCCTAGTAGTGCCACTACTCATACCATTTTGGAAGGATGTACTATCGTCTAAATTAACTTAAGTGATCTAGGCAACTAAGTTCTTAGTAAAAAAATACTGATAGTCTTGAAAACTTCTCATCAAATTTTACTATTTACCATACATATTCTTATGACTTATTGATTATATTCTTTTATATGAATGTTGATAGTTGGAGTTGATATTTTGAATGTTTTGAATAATAATAATAATAAGTTGGCTTATATTCTATCATCATATTTTAAAGAAAATCTGTAAGCACTCTTGCTCATAAACGGTTAAGAAAGGTTGATAGTTAAGTTTTATTGAATAATATGAATAAGCCTCACGATGCCATTAAATTTTAGCCAGCCTTCCTAAAAGTGGGCTAAACCCGTTTTCACAACTTATACTTATTATAAAAGGGACTTAGTTAGATGCACCTTGTCTGAAGTCCTCTGCTATAATAATTATCATAACTCCCAGGGTCGGACCTTGGACTTAGTACATTTTCAGGCGTTTCGACGGCATCGTCAATGAGTCTTGCGATTCTCAGAAATAGGCTACAATTCGTCAGAGACACGTAAAGTATATCCCTTGACCAAAGTTAGCCGATACGGTTGTGGTATTACTCTTCTTTCTCTTCTGATCCATTTATTTACTCCGTACCCTCTTGTCGAACCCCCGCCCTATCACAACTTATGATTTACTTACATTCCGCTATTCAAAAGTTATGCCCTTTTTGGCAAGTTGAGTATGGCGTCACATGCTGTTCCCCTTGCTCCTTTCTCTCTCTTGTGCGTGCGCGATTAGCTTATCCGACTCGGGCTTCTAATCCGTATCTTCTTTATGGTTCCCTTGATCAGTTTCTTATCTTTCTGGTTGACCGATTTCTCTTAGTTCTAGTCCCACTGTATATTTTACTCGAGGCGCTATTTCTCAAGCCTTTAGCGCACGTAAACTGTTGTCTCACCGAGGAGAGCGCTTCTGATTCCCATGCTTGTAGATATTAGGCACTCCTTTCAAAAGTCTCCTTATTTAAACCTGTGGCCCTAGCAAACTGTGGACACCTATCCTTGGTCGCCTGCTGCATTTCGAGTAGATTTCTAGTACATTTTGGCCATTATGTCGAATTTCTGTTTCGGTTATGCTTATCCCTCTCCATAGTCACGTGACCGCCAGGTCCCAGAGTTGTAGTTGTTTCTTCGAACAGACTAATATTGAGAACGCCTTCGTTTGCTTTCCTAAACTCCCCCACCCGCTTCCTCGCGATACCTTTTCCTCTGGTTAACGATGGGTCCTTGATTAAGGCGTCTCCTTTTTGCTGGTCTTGTATATTTTTTTTTCTCCAGGTTTGCTTAACTAAGGCCCGAGTTGGATGAGCCAAAGGAAAGAGTGCGCTACCAGGTTAACAGCAGGTGTGATCACGTCACGCTAAACTTGCCAAAAAGGACACACCTTTGAGGAATAGAATGTAAACAAATCAGATGTATTGATAGGGTTGGAGTGTGATAAGAGGGTAGGAAATAGATAGATAGTTCAGGATATGAGTGATAGCACAATCGTGTCAAAAAAAAGTGTATCAAGGGATTGACTTTAGTAGCCTGGTGCTGAGAATGGTAAGATTCACTGACGATGCCGGCAAAACGTTTGAGAGTGTACCAAGCCTACGATCCGGTGCTGGGAATTCTGATAACTACTATAGTTTCTTTCAACTAAGTCGCCCCGTCAGAACGACCAATTTGCAATAACAAGGTCGGAACGAGACTGCGACTATACCGTTAGAAGTGTTGCGAAGACCAAGGCGAAGTCGAACTTGCTGTACATCTTAGTGAAAAGTCCCTTCTAAAGGTTAGGTTATGTGAAATTAATTGGCATTGCGAGGCCTGCTCTTGTCCTTAGAGTAAATTCAACCGTCAGCGCCTTATTTTCTTATACGATTTGGGTTTACTACACCCTTATCGAATGATTTCATGCTTATCTTACTTTATACCTTTTTGACCTTCAGAATATATATTGCCTCTCTCGGACTATCGATGAGCACGAAGATAAGCTTTCAAAGTCTATAGAAAGTTATAACAAATTGAAGAATGAATTGACGGGAGTTCTCACCTCGTAAGATATGTCATAATTACTTTGATGATGTCATACGTCGTGCTTAACTAAACTATCTTCCTATAAAGGCTTTAGGCTGCTTTGAATAATATTTTCACATAATTCAATAAAATCATATGAAATAATTTAGATGCCTAAATTCACTGAGAAAACATTTAGTACTTTTAAACTTTATATTTTGTTTCTTACTTAATTGAATCTATAATATAAGTTGTTTGACCTTGTTTTCGCAACTTGGTCATATTGGTAGGAAGACGTACAGGAACACACCTAGTCCGGAGTCCATTGTATGCATAATCATTTATAAAGTCGGACCGTGGACGTGGTACATTCACAGACGTTTCGCCGGCATCGTCAGTGAGTCTCACCATTCTTAGCAATGCACAACTCGTCAAAGAGACAAATGAAGCTGATCCTCTGACCAAATGTGTGCTAAGCAGTTGTGGTATCTTTCCTGTCCTAGGCTATTCACTTTTCCTATATCCTCGTATCACGCCTTCATTGTCAATTTTTTACGAGCTTATTTAAATGTAGTGTCTTGTGCCCTTTTGAGCTTCACCCCCCTTCGCCCTTGTGCTAAGAATGTTGATGAGAGTTTGTCATATTATTACGCAGTCCTTCCCTAGATCTTAACAGAGTCTTCCTCTTGCCACATAGGATTCGTCTGCTATCTTCTAGGCTCAAGTATTTCATTCGACCCCTGCCAGCCCATCTGTGCTACTCGATGCGTTATTATCCATCCCCTGCGTCTATTTGACTAATTCGAGGCCTAGGTGGTACGAGGATATAGGACAGGTAAATAGCCCAGGACAGAAGGAGAGATAACACAACTGTTTAGCACACATTTGGCTTCACCTGTCTCTTTGACGTGTTGTAGTATGGTGCTAAGAATGGTAAGACTCATTGACGATGCCGGCGTAACGTATGGGAATGTATTACGTCTACGATCTGACTTCGGAAATTATCATCCATACAATGGACTCCGGACTAAGTGCGTTTCTCTAAGTCTTCCTTCGAACATGACCAAGTTGCAAAAAAAGTCAAGCAACTTCTATACAAGGAAAGGAGACTGCGACCACACAAAAGGCCATAGCATCTTGGTATTCATACCTTTGATTTTATAATAGTTTTATAGCACGATATGCTTTTCAATGATAGCGATCTCTAGAATGAATGTAGGATTAACTACTTCCAAAGGATTACTATCTACATATTATTGACAAGGTTCTAATCTTGAGTACTCTATTCTTAATCATTTTATTGTTTATATTTTTCATTTATGCCTTGTTTACTACGCTAATATAGATCAAATTATTCTTTTTTTAATTACTGTCAGAGCATGACGTCCATCCCTTGATGTTATATATCTAAACTCATTCTATAAAAGGCCTAGTAATTATTCGCTTTCAGCTAGCCTTATACTTAACACTAAATTCGAACGGCCTAAAATTCGTGCCTCTGATCATCCATTATCACATTACTACTACCAGCTATGTCAGGAACCCGTCATTTGACGACCAAGATTTTCTGGTCTTTTGTTTAGTCGCAGTCTTTCATACTGTTAGCTTTACCTAGTATTCACAACTGGGTCAGAGCGACTGGGAGACCTTATGGAACGTACATAATTCTGATTCTACTGCCACACTATCCATGATGGTTTCTGGCGTCAGAGGGACGCCATTCTTATCACTGTTATCACTTTATCATAACATTAATTTTTATTAATTAGTTTTCGTCCAGTAATATTCCTAAAATATTGTTAGTTTTTCTGTATTAAGTATTTTATAAAGTCCATCGCCAGCAAACTTAAAAGCTATTTCCTTATATCATTTTTCGGAGCCAAAACACATGAATTATGTTTAACAAAAATTTACATTACTCTTAGCTTGGTATGACAATTTTCAGAATGTCGCTATTTCCAATGAATAGCCTAAACTTAATAAACAATATAGACATAATTTTTGGTGGTTTCTATAGTATAATTTTTATTCGAGCTTAATAAGAATCCGCATTAATAAAAAATAGATTCATTTTTTATCTTTTTAAATTATGCTTTCATTATATTGTCTAACCTTGAATTGTTTTCATTGACTGTTTGAATTTTTAATTCAGTGAAATTAGAGCATTGGAGGATTCTTCACAGATTTCCAGAAAAATTACCGACTCACTTTCTGTAAAACTCAAAATGTCAAAGCTGCAAGTCACCTCTTTGGAAAAAGAATTTGCAAGCAAGGTAACTATACATCGGCGTTTCACTTTTGTGGCTGTTCTACTTTATCCAATATGCTTGATTAATCTATTTAAAAACCAATCCATTTCAGAATTTCTCTATACGAATGGATAAAATTGTCTTGCTCTTCAAAAATGTTAAATAATTTGTGGCGAATCATTGTTTTGTTGGAATGATCCACATTTAATTTGCTATTTTTGAGACTACTTTGCCTTTATTAGGTACATTGGCATTCAATATGACAAATTTTTCCTTATGTTAGGTAAA